GAAGACCAAATGTCATTCCTTTGAGCTAATGTGAGGACTGTTATTGCCTTATAAAGCACCGAGTCAGTAATCAATATAAACTACAATTAAAAAATATCACACATGTAGTCCTCTGCACAGCAGATACTTCACTGTGGAGCAATCCACAGTGCTTCCATTGGCTATTATCAACATGGAGTTATAGGACAGAATCACTATATGGTGATTCTGCACCCTGAGCCCCTGTCCCACTCCATCCCTCCCCATGGGGGGCCTCAACCTGCCCCCCCCTCCCCCATAGAGTTACTTTAGCAGCTAGTGTGGGCACACATGCATATGGTGCCCCCTGCATCCAGCTCCTGGCAGCCCCAAGCATCCCCTTGAAGGCTGGAATGCTGCCAGCCTGCAAGGGAAACTCAGATCGCTGAACGATACTATGAATCTGAGACAAATGCTGTCCTGGAGTCATCCAGGACTGGGACTTGAGGTTTCCATTCCAGGACTGTCCTGCCTAATTAGGAATGGGTGGTCACCTGAGGGGGAGGTGAAAACTTTTTCCTCTGCTTTTCTTTCCTCCCTTTTCAACTTTTGCAGCAACATAAAAGAACCCTGAATATGGTCAAGGGCACAAGCTTGCTGATATAAAAGTTATACAGTGCAACTTATGCTGCCTGCTACAATAAGCCCTTGAGCCAGGAGGCGCAAACAAAAGGGTTGTGCTGAGAACAGGAAGGAGCCAGGCCACTTGCACTCTTTGGCAGTAGGGACAGGCTGATACGATCTGACAACACCACAGGACTACCGGAGCCTAAGCCAGCTGAGGCTCTGTCCCCAGACACTTCCAGGAATTAACCAAAATCTCGATTACAGCAAATATTCCGCCATGCAAATCTCCCCATTCCATATTAAACTTACATGCAGTAGGATTTCATAGACTGATTAACAATTATTGTTTCTAATTCAGTTGTTGCCAAATTGCTTCCTTAGAGCTAAAAGTCTTATAAACCTATTTTTGTTCTCATATTTGCACCAAGTAGTGCTAGAAAACCCACAAGTCTTCAAAGATCAACATGAAAAACAGACATCATATATATATTTTCTAACAAGAAGGCAGGTAGGATTTTAATCATGTTCACCTGGTTAAGCTAATAAATTACATATGGGGACCTTCTGAAGCTTACTACTTCACAAAAAATCCCATTGGCATTGTTGGCATCATTGGTGTAGCAAAAAACCCCCAAAAGCACTTAAGAATGGGCGGCAAAGTCCAGCTCTATAATTTAAACTCCAAACTATACTATTGCTTTTAAGCAATGACTTCCTGTTTCTTTCCATAATATACAGCAGATGCACTCTGAAAGGAGATGAAGACTTCTTTCATTATTTACATTGCTTTACTTACTTCCTGGTTCAAGGTAAATCAGAGTCCCACAGCATCCCAGCATTTTGCAGCCCTGGGCTGGGCTGGGCTGTCTGCTCCAAAGAGCAGGGCTGGCCCCATCCCTCTGCTCGCTAGCTGGAGCAGTGAGGGCTGGCTGACAAGAGGGTGGCAGGGAAGGGTAAGCCTGGCTGGGGATACAGCCCACTCTGCAAGGCGGGGGGGGGGCTGCCCCTGCAGGCAAACCTTGGCTGGGGTCTGGGGCAAGGGAGGGGGGTTAAACACTCCTTCCCCCCTAAAACTTACTGCTGGCTGCAACTGTGGACTACAAATCCCAGAGGCACCTAGAAGCAGTAAAAGGAAGTGATGAGAAACCCTGCAGAGCCCTGCTTGGACTGCAAATCCCAGAGACCTTGGGGGCAGCAGGAAGAGGAAGCAAACACATAGCCCATATTGGCTACATGCCAGAGAGCTGTGCTCTAGTGCAGAGGTTCCCAACCCTCAGGCCATGGCCTTGTACCACACTGCAAAGGGTTTGCTGAGGGCAGGAGGGTTGGCTGCCAGACCGCAAGTCTGGAAGTGATTGGCATACTGCAGCCAACCTTTTTTATACTGAGTATAAAAGGTTCACAGTATGCCAGTCACTTCCGGTCTTCAGTATGCTGGTTTGCAGTTGCTGGTCCGTGGTCACTTCTGGTCTGCGGTTTGCTGGTCCACGGTCTAAAAAGTTTGGGAACCACTGCTATGTGCCCCCTAGCTTTTGGCTTGAGCCACTGCAGGTATGTGGTTGCATTTCATGAATCAAAGGTAAATGCCTGTTCACTTCTATTTCAATTTAATCTCTACAGTTTAAACTAACCTGCAAAGACTGAATTAATTCAGCCTTGGAGTTTTTGACTATCTGTACTTAGCCTTACTGTCTTTTTTCCATTCTGACATTATTTCCTGATTCCCAATTCAGAGTTATAATTCAAAGTAAACTGGGGAATTAAAAATTTCAAACATGAGCCATACGGTCCTTAAAAACCTGAGAACAGCTTGATAGCAATGCTTATATACATGAAGCCCTTTACTGGAGATAATTATCAATTGTTATTCATGCTCTATCCATAAACAAGAAAGCAACACTGCTGGAAATAGAAGAAACATTCAGCTGTGTCTGACTTCAGATTACAATTACTGCTTTCCTGGTGACAGGTGAACTTGTTAGAGGTTTTGGTTGAAGGGAACAAATTGTTTCTGTAAAGATGACATAACACATACATTTTTTACTCCCATTGGGCTCTACCAAACTATCACTTGTGTACTGCTTATCTTGATTTTTCAAGAAGGGAACATGACTATTATACTAAAGAACTATATATGTTAGTCAAAAATGCCATTTGCACTTTACAATAGGGCATGTACCTTAGAGAGAAAAATACTTGTGGATTACACGTGGCATAAAGGAAGCAGAACTGATCAAACTAAATAATACATTCCCCTTTACCATAACATAAAAATATTAACAACAATTCAAAAATGTAGATTTGAGGTACTAGTAATAATTATTTTGCTGAATAACTGTTCAATCAATATAGCATCAGTAATATATCAGTAAAACAGAATCTGTCCTAATCACAGTTGTATTACAGTTTACTAGAGCTGTGCGAAGCTTCAGTTGCTGATTTGATTTGGTGGAGATTCAGCCTGATTCGGCGGCCGAATCTCTGAATCTGAATTGAATCAGGAGATCCTTTAATCTCTCTGAATTGAATCGGAACCCTCTAAATTGATTCAGAGAGATTCAATGATTCAGACATAGACACAGATTTAAATGTTTTTTCTACATACCTCAAGGTATCAGGCAGATGCTTGGGCAGATGGAGCATCCCATGGGAGTGCAGGGGGGTTCCCACTGTGCCTGGTGGTGGACCAGAAAGTAGACCAGAAGCACTTCTGGTCCATGTCCAGGTCTGCCGCAGAGCACCCCTCCCCCCGCAACCCTCAGCTGGTGTCTCCTGGGTCTGGGGGGGAGGGGGGGCACCTGGGGTCCTCCTGCAGCCGATCGCCAAGATGGGTGAGTGTGGGGGTTGTCCCCTGCACACTTGGCAGCAAACCCAGAAGTGGACTGGAAGCACTTCTGGTCCACTTCCAGGTCCACTGTTGAGCACGCGGGGGAGCTCCCCATGCTCCTGTGGGACGCTCCATCCACCCCACCATCTCAGCATTCACAAGCCATGCCTAGTATCTTGAGGTATTTAGAAAAAACATTTAAAGCTGTGTCTATGGCTGAATTGCTGATTCTCTGAGTCAGCACTGAATCTTCAGATTCAGCCGAATCAAATCAGGACAGAGATCCAAATCAATGAATCAAATCACTGTCCCCTGACTGGGGCTGAATCTGAATCAAATACACAGCCCTACAGTTTACCATAAAATCTTATGAATAAATCTTATGAGAATCATGTTTCAAATACAGAATTCTTTGACTTGGCATGTTTTTGAACATATGTAATGTGAAATCATTTGGGTATATTCAGAAAAATAGGAAAGGATATTTTTTATTTTACCACCATTATAATTAACAAATGTATGATGTTACAACATCTGTGAATATGTTCCACTGATATGTTGTTGTAATAACATCAAACAAGGCCCAATCCAAACCCCAGTGAAAACAAAGCAAGGACTCTCATTAACTTAATCAGATTTCAGATCAGGTCCCTGCTCATTAAGGAGACATTTTCCAAAGCACTTACAGGATTTTAGATCACAAGTTCCATCAAAAGTCAGTGGGTTTTAGCCTCATAATTCCCACTCTCAAATGTTGCTGGATATTCATAGCTAATAATTTATCAAATCAAAAGAAAGATAAATCAAAATATTTCATACCACATGCATCTTACATGCAGTTAGTTATACTGTGATCCATATTAGACACACTTGAACAGTGGTCATCAACCCCAAAGAGTTTTATTACAGTTAGCTGTATTTTCATACAATTATATCTCACACTACAAATTCACTACATATTTATGATGCCATGCAGAATACAATGACACTACAAGACATACAGGGAATGTTTACATGTGCATTTACTGTGCAGTAACTTACTGTAAGTGGTTTTTAGTGTCTAATTGCCACTGCAGCACAGTAATGCTGTACGTGTAGCAATTTAGGAGTAAAGTTACTCCCAAGTGAGTCCACACAAACAGGGTTAGTGCACAGTAAGGCGTCTACATGTGCCTTGCTGCACAGTACGTACGCAGGAGTAAATTTGCTACCTGCAAATTTTTTTATGCAAGTAGCAAATTTATTCCCGAGTCAGCATAAGTCACCATAGTTACTGCACAGTACGGGGGTGTGCACATGTAGATATGTGCCCATACTGCACAGTAATTTTCAGTTACCTAAATTACTGCTCAGTAATGGTGCATGGGTAGATGCATCCACAACGTGGTTGCTTCCTACTAGAAGGCAAACATAAACCTGGAGAGTAAGCAAAGAAAGACTGCCTAACAGTTTAGTTATAAATGCATAACAATAATGGAAAGCACACTACTGGAGGGAGTTTAATATATCTAGCAGTGAGATTATTAACACAGAAATTCAGGGCCAAGTCCATGCTAATGGTATAGCTGGAACTAAAACCCCAGGATACCTTCAGAATCAAACGCCGACGATAAACTCTTGTTGTGATTCTCTGTTCTTCATCTGAGCTTGACTCACTCTGAACCTCAATGTCACTGTCACTAAATTCCTGATAAATGCAGTTTTAGTATATTTTAATAGCACATTTAAAAGACAAAACATTCTCAGCAGG